ACTGAAAACTAATTCATTGAACCAAACAATAACTATCAAAAATATCACTTTTCATAACTAAATGAACCTATCTTAAATAATAATATCATTAAGAATGGAAATATTTCAATTGATATCATATGTATCACTTTTAATTAATAAATGATATACAAATTAAATTAAAATACTGGTTGATTGATTTTCTAATATCTAGTTCATTTATATTCACAATTTTCATAAATTGATGAAATAAAATAAAGAAAGATATCACTACAATAGAGAAAGAAATAAAATAACACAATACAAGTAACTCAAGATTATTTAATTAAATTTGTTGAAAAAGATAATACTAAGAAGAATGGAATGGTTTTACAATACAACTTTGATTCAATTTAAATCATTTCAGATTAATTTCATTCATTATTTCGTTCTCATTATTATCATATATAAAAAAAGAATAAATAATAATAACATATTCATCTTTGTTATTTTATTTTGAATGTTTAATTGTAGTTAGAAGAATGGAACAAAACTCAAGAGAATACAAAAGATAGAATAAACAATAAATAATATATAAATAAATAAATATTATTATTAATATAATATAATAATAAAAAGAAAAAAAAAAAAGAAAAAAAAAAGATGGAAAAATACCCCGATGTTATTCCTCTTGTAGGTAAAGAAACATGGGATAATGTCTATAAACCAGATGTTGATAGTTATTTGTTAATGAATGTTTTAGAAAAAGAAAGAGATTTCATTAACAGTCATGAACCAATGACATCACTTGAAATTGGAGTTGGAAGTGGTATTGTATCAAAATACGTTAAAGAATTATTCCCACGAATAACTACATTCTGCAGTGATATTAATCCGTATGCACTTGAATGTACGAAAAAAGTTCATAAAGAAGGGAATTTAATTAAAAGCTCATTGATAGAATCAATCAGAGACGAATCAATTGATTTGTTTATATACAACCCACCATATGTTCCAACACCAGAAGAAGAACTTCATCATTCATATCTTTCATTAAGTTGGGCAGGAGGAAAAGATGGGAGAGAAAAAATTGATTGTGTAATTGAACATTTGTGGGATATATTATCACCAAGAGGAATTGGTTATATTGTAATAATTCAAGATAACGACCCAAAAGCAATTATAGAAATGGCAGTTAAACATAATTTGAGACCTAAAATCATTGATTCCATCATTCTTGAAACAGAAAAGTTATATGTTTTACGATTGATCCCAATCTTTGAGATAAATGAATAAAGTAGAAAAGAAAATGAATTTATCTTATTTATGAGGATTAAAACAAAAATAATTCAATAATAAAGAAGACTTTTTGGTTAGAACAGAATAATATCTTGAATAATCAAAGAGAAATAAAAACAATAAAAATAACATCATTCACAATTATATTATCTATTACTTCTTGTTTTAAATGATTGATTAAACTAATATAATTTCATTATCATATAGATTCATTTAACATAGAATATATGAAAATAAAAAAGAAGAATCAATCAAGTTCTCTAGAATTATAAGAGTAGAATGTATTTAAAATACTATAAAGAAAATAACACAATTAGAAAGAAGTTTTTTATAATAATATATAAAGGGATAATGAATCAAGAAAGAAGAATAATAATATAATGAAACTAATAAATAAAAATAAGAATTACAAAACATGAAAAATAACAATAGAGTGAAATATCAAAATTTAATATCAGATAAATAAGAATAAAATCCAATAAATAAAAATTTTATATATGACATTCATAATAATATTAAATAATAAATAATTCTATTCTATGTCTATAATATACAAAGAAATAGTTACTTAAAAATAATATTAATTGATAATATATATTTATATTAATTATATTTATCATCTCTCATTAATCAAAATGAAATATCCTTTCTATTTATTAATAACATATTATTATTTTATGAGTTTTATGTTTATATTTGAAAATATAACTACTAATTAATAAATAAAACAAATACCAATATAAATCAAAATGTATGATTCATTTCATTTAAAAAATAAAGACAATCATATCTTATTTATATCCAATTATCTACTCATAAAATACTAAGAAAATTATAAACCAAATAAGATATTATTTTATTTAATAATTATTTCTTCAATCCTTATTATTATCAATTCTAGTTCTTTCTTTTATTCTTATTTTTATTCGTTTCTTACTCAGAAACACATAAATAAAACAATTACATTAACATCATTAAATACACTCATAACATTAACACATTCACTCCAATCTCTTCTTTTTATTGACTCCTCTTCTTTTTTAATAATGAGATAAAAAAAAATTTACATATAAAATAATAGTAATTAATATTATCATTGTTATTATTGCAACATCCAAAATACTTTTATGTTAAACAATCAAGGAAATAACAAGCAACTCCTATCACTTACAGATCAGAGACTTACTGAAGTATTTTTGATAGATTAGATTTATAAAAATAACGTTTTTATGAAGACAATAACATTCTTCCATTATTACTTTCTACAAACTTTTGTTGTTTATACACTTTGTTAAGATCAAATATTCGGTACATTATACTCAGATAAGATATTACTCATCAACCATAATCTGAAAACAGTTAGCAACACTTAAATTAACTTCTCTATAAGTTAACATCATATATTTTTTAAATCTCATTTTGTTCTCTCTTTTTTGAATAATGTACTTTTTTATAAAAATAATGGACTCAAGTTACTATTTTTGTTAAAGAATAAGAACAAACCCTTCCGCTTTGTTAGGAACACACAATAACGTTGTTGTAAAACAAATTTTCTAATCTTAATACAATTATTCAGTTAAACAAATTTTTTTTGTCTTAAAAAAGTTACAAGGACAACACAAGCCAAGAGTGTATTATTGAGGTAAGTATATTTACTCTCATTAATGAAAAGAAATACTTATAAATTTATCCTCGAAAAAGATGGCATAAAGCAAGAAAAATAATGAGAGAATTTTAGATTATAAAATATTGTTTAATAACAAAAAAATAATAAAAAGAAACTAAATGAATAACAACTTGTTTGGTTTATAATAAAACACTTCATCCAAAGAAAATGTAAAGAACAGAACAGCCAATAATAACCAAAACACAAACGATAATTAAGACCATAATAATTTTATCTGTTGCTAATCTTCTGGCTATTCCATTCAACTCTTTGTTTGCAATATCTAAAGTGGAATCAATTTCATCAACTAATTCAATACAATGATCTAATTGTTCATTTTGTTGATCAAGTTGTAAAGAAATAGTACCACCAATTTGCTTTGCATCATTTATTTGATTAATAGCATTGTCAAGATGATTTTTATCTTCTTCTTGTATTTGAACAGCCAATCCTAATGCTTCATCAGCATTCAAATCATCAACATTTACATCTTTTTTATCTGTTGACAATTCTTTAGTTAATTTTTGAGTTGCAGCATTCAATTCTCCTTCTAATCTTTTTACTTCCTTAAATATCAATTTCAGATACAATCTCAAACAAAAAAATAATTTTCTTTAAGTTAATCAAAATGAAAGTATAAAATAAAAGAAACAAACAGCATTAAAATCAGCAAGTTTTGGATTCCCTTCTTTCTCCATTCTTCTAGACTCAATCTTCAAACTTGAAAGAATATTACGGGCGTTTTCAAATCGACGCTTAGTTTGATTATATCTATTATTATGTTCGTCTCCTTTTGTTCCTTTCATAGCTTCAATTTCATCATTACCTTGTTTAATATTAGTTTTTAATTCAGTTAAATAATCATCAATCTCAGGTGAATAACCACTCATTTTCCATTTTAAGTTTTTTCTTTTTTATTATTTTTTAGTTTATTGTTTTTTTATTTAATCTTGTTTGTTTTTTTTTTTTTATAGGTTTTTTTTATTATTTTTATCTTCTTTCTTTTATTTTTAAAAATATTACCATTCTATTTTTAAGTTATTTGTAACAATGAAAAAAATAGTGAAACAAATAATAAAAATATATGAATATACAAAAGTTCATTCAATCTGGATTAGTTTAGTTGCAAAATCAATCAATAATTTCACATCAGTAAAAAAGAACCGTAGTCCAATCTCAAACATTTCATAACTATTATTTAAACATACAGGAATAAATTGGGCTCTGCCTATTTTCTTTGTTTCTAAGTTTGTGCTATAAAATAAGTGTTTATGATTATCTTTTCATTTTGATTTATCAACAAACCGATAAGGAATAATAAGGTCTACATTAACTGTAGTAGAGTAAATAATAAATCGATGAAGTGAGACTAAACAATACATAAAAAAGTCATCAGGTTTTTTTACATGAATACTAGGTAGTCGAAGAGGGTTAAGATTAAACTGTCTTTCTAACACTCTAATCATCCTCAGAATTACATCTACAATTAATGCATATTTTTTTTTATTTCTAAGTAGAAGAGTAGTGATTATAGCTGTTCCATTAATCGAGATGTCATTGTTGTTTATCCAATTAATATGAAACAAATGGTCAAAAGTCGTAGTAGAACTTAGAAATTTTTCAAGCCGTTTAACTCTAGAATTTTGTGGGATATGAAAAGCACTAATTGAATAATTACTATAATAAACTAGAACATTAAGTTCTTGGCAATGACTTTGATGAATCATTGTTTCAATGTATTTTAATTGAACAATTGTTATTTTTTGATGATGAAGTCTTACATTTTGAATTTGTAAGGATGTTACTTCATCTGTTAACTTCTCAATCTCTTCAAGTTCTTTTTTAATGTCTTCGTCTAACGTTTCAGTGATTGAATATTCGATTAACTCTTGGTATTTAATTCTTTGTTTCCTAAATTCAGATGAGAGCATTGCCAATGTCTCTTCAAGTGCAGAGTTAATAACTTGATAACATTTAGAACAAATGGGAAATTCAATTTCCCAATTTTTACAAAGTGCCATTGTTGGTTCTACCACTGAGACAGGATATCTGGGGAGATTGATTTGTTTAATTATTTTTTTCTCCTCTATTTGTTCTAATTCTTTTGTTGTGTCTTCAATGGTATTTGAGTATGACATATTTAAATGAAATAGAGGTTCTTCAATTTCAGAAAAGATAGGTTGAGCAGACTGTGAAAAGGAAAACAACATTTTTAATCCACCTTTTCGTTTAGGGGGTAAAACACCTGTCTTCACTTTTGGTTTTAGGAGTACAGGATTTTTGGATAAAGAGGATTGTGATTGTTCCTTTGTTTCATTTGAATGAAATGAGTCTTCTTCTGTAAAGGAACAAGGTTGTGTTCTTATTGGAGACGTAAATGGAGAATCACTTTCTTCTGAACTACCATCATTAAACAAGTTATTTCTCGATTTTAGTTTTGAAAGATTTGATAGCACATCTGTTTGTGGTGATAGTGAAAGAAAACAGTCATCAGGAGGGTCAAACAAATGACCTGTAAAGAGTAATGGACACCCACACACCACACAAAAGTAGATTTGTTTTTCTTCCATTAATTGTTTTTTTCTTTTTTTTTAGATTGTTTTATAATTTATGTTATTTTTTTTATACGACAATAACGAAAATTTAATCTGTTTATAAAACAAAAGAAGCGTTAATTAATAATAATTTTTAATTTTTATTGCACTACTCTTATGAGAATAAGAAGTTGTATCGGTTAGATAATTTTTTTTATCATAATTTTAAGTATTATCATTACCTTATTATTCATTTAATTTTTCAAAATACAATAAAAAAGAAGATAAATTATTTTTTTGTTCATTAGATATAGGTATTGTTCTTGTCTTACTTTTTTATTATGTGATAATAGTTTATTTCTATCAGTAGTAAGGAAGTTTCTAAAAATATCAATACTATTTCATTATAAGCATCATTATTATGATTGAGTTATTGTTCTATTATTGTTTTATTATTATTGTTATTTTTAATATTATATTTATATTGTTTAGAATATCATTATGGCAATTCATTATATTTGATTTGCATATGTTTTATTAGATTTATGTATTATAATTGGATAAATAATTTATTATAATAATAAATATTCAATTAATAACAAGACAAAAGAAATATAATTCAGTTAACATAATATTCTTTAACAACAACACTTATCCATTTTATATAATACAGTGTGAATTAGTATAAAATTACTACCTAGATTAATACATTTGTTATTATTTTAAATGTTTAATTCAAAATTTTCAATATTATTTTTTTTGGTATTCTTTTTTCTTTTTAATAGTTATTTATTAAAGATGCCGAAGCATTACAGGAAACACCACAAAAATTATAAAAAAATTAATAACAAAAGAAGGAGAAATCCATACCAACAAAGAAATATAAATGATAGAAGAATGAGTGAAAACACGTATTATCTGTATGGACAGAAATACAATAATCATCACATTAATCATCACCATAATAATAACTATCACCATAACAATTATCATAATAATTATAACAATAATGGTAAGAATCATTTCACTCATCACTTCAGTCATTTTCATCATCATAAGTATTTTATCAATAATTCAAATAGAAACAATCAATATTATAATACAAATAAATCACATAATAAAACACAACATAGATATAAACAATACCATAATAAAAGACAACAACAAATAAGAAATAAAAGAAATGATAGAAATACAAAACAAGAATATTTGAAAAGAATATTGGAAAAGACTATTTGAAGAAGAAATTAAAATAATTACACCACAAGAAATAGAATAAATTAAGAACACTAAGATTAAAGAATACACACCATCAACAATAATGAGAATATGGTATTTACTTACAAGAGAAAAAACAAAAATGAATAGAATGGAGAAACGATCAGTATGACAAATGAAGAATATGACAAACAACTAAATCAAAAAGAAATAAATGATAAATACTTAAATAAGAAATATACAATGAGTATTGAAAATGATGATGAAAATGAATTTGCTGAGGAGAAGAAGAGACTTACTGAGGAAGAGAGGCTAATAAAAGAGAGAAAGGAGAGGCTTGCTGAGGAAAAGAGGGACAATGAAGAGAAGAAGAGGCTTAATGAAAAAGAAAATATGAAATTAAAAGAAGAAGAAGAAGAAAAGAACAATGAAAAAGATAAAAGAATAGAAGAATTAAAGAAAAGAAGAGAATATTAAAGAGAAAGAAGAAATGAAGAAATACAAAAGAAGGACCAAACCATTAATAAATTATCAAATGACATTATATCATTAAAGAAGAAACATGAGAAGGAGATAAACACTAAAAAACAAGAAAGTGATAGAAAATTATTCGAATTCCATGCTGAATCAGAAAGGAAAAGGTCTGAGGTAAGCAATTTATCACAACAAGTGTACTTCTTGAAAGATAAATTATTTAAATTACAAAATAAAATTACACAAGAAGAAAAGAAGAAAGATGAGATAAATCACATTATATCAGATTCATCTGAAACACAAATTGTGAATGACATCACCCCAATGTTGTAGTAACTGATGAAATATCATTAATTGAAGATGGTCTTCAAAAAAAGAAAGTTAATACAGAATTCAATCGAATAGATGTGAAATCAGCATAAGAAGATCACATCATCTGATCATGACATTCAAAAAAACGGGGGAAGCAAACAAATAGAGAAGAAGAAATTCTAACACTCTATAAATGTTTTGCACTGAAGTTATTAGAAATAAAATTAAGAGGAACTTAAAGAAGAAGAAATAAAAAGATTAATACATGAATTTGATATTAAAATAGAAAATATTAATGAATATAAAGAAATAATAAAGAAAACATATAAAATAAAGAATGAAATTAAAAGGGAAGTCAATAGAAGAATTGAAGAAGAAATAATAACACACCAATGGAAAGATATTGAATTAAAAGAATTAATAAAATAAATAAGAAAGAAGAAATACAAGAAGAGGAGGTAATAAGAATATTTAAAGAAGAAGATATGAAAGAACAAGAAGATGTACAATTTATTAATTATTATTACAATAAAAACAAAGTACATCAAATAATTAATATCATTAATACAAATGAAATAGTAATCAATACATTAGATGATTACTACCATTATATTAAAACTATAACATCAACTATTAACATCATTATTAATAACAATCAAGAAAGAAGTTGAAAGAGAAGTATAGAAAAAATAATACAATCAAAAATATGTAGATTAAGAGACTTACTCCATAATAACCAATATATGAAAATAAAAAGAATATTACATATTAAAAATATGATATATATCATATTAAAATAAAAACAAATGAGCAAATAAACTATTACAAATACATCAAAAGAATGAAAAGAATAGAAATAGAAGTAAGAAAGAATAATTGGAAAAGAATTAGATGGAATTATAAAATGATAAAATATGGAAAGAGACAACTTCTAAATAAACATAAAGAAGATGAATATCCAGATAATATTACTACAATTAATTTCATGAAATGAATCTATGAAAATAACACTAATATAGATTTCATAAATATTAATTTATATGAAATATTAATTGAAAATAGAATTAATAATAGAAGGTGCGTAATCACTCTAGATGAATTAAACCATGCAATAAAATTCATTGCTAATTGGAAAGCACCTTGAATTGATAAAATACAAGGCTTCTGGATTAAATATTTAGAACAACTAAAGAATTTCTTATTAAAATTATTTAATGAATTGTTGTATAATCCTACTAACATCCCTCTTCAATTTATCCAAGGAATGACAATATTAATATACAAGAAAGGAGATAAATTAGACCCACAAAATTACAGACCAATAACTTGTTTAAACTGTCTGTTAAAAGTATATACATCTTTATTAAAGATGAAGATAGAAAGCCAACTGATGCTAAATCAAATTGAAAAACAATTATCATAAAATCAGATTGGATGTAAAAAATATACATATGCATCAAAAGAATGATTATTATACAATACTATAATCATTCAGTTATTAATCAAGGCTAAATGGAAGTGGGTAGAAACATATTATGATGTCTCTAAAGCATATGATAGTATTAATCATCAATTTGTTAAACATTGTTTAATTTATTTTAACATCACATTAGTTGTAATTAAAAGTATATTATATATTAAATAATACACAACTCCAATTATATTATATTCAACAAAACGTAGGTATAATTAATGTAGAAAGAGGAATAATACAAGGTGATAGTTTATCTCCATTATTATTTGTATTATCTATTGATATATTATCTAAATAATTAGATAAACAAATTAATAAATTATCTATTAAAATGAATGGAGAAGAAAAACAAGTCCAGTTAAACCACTTATTATATATGGACGATTTAAAGATAATAACTAACAGCCTCGAAGAAATTGAAAAAGCCCACAAATTAACAAAAGAAATAATTAATAGAATATGAATAAAAATAAAAGTAGAAAAGAGTTTGATAATGAATAATATCAATGGTCAGATAGATGGAGAATTAGCTGAACTACCAAGAGTAATTAATGATAATCATTATAAATATCTTAGTAATGAAATAGGAGATAAAATAAATATTAATAAATATTGTACAAGAATATTAAATGATGTATCTTCTATTCTATCATCATTAAATAATATGAAATATAGCAGCCTCAATACAATTAGAAAGATTAATAATGATATAATCTCAAAATTAAGATATGGATTCTGTATTGTCCCATGGAAACTTGGTGAGTTTGAGAATATAGATAAACAAATAAGAAAATCATTGATACAACTCCAACTATACAGTAGAGACATACCTAAAAGTAGATTATATGTTACAATAAATGAATTATGAATATGATTAATGTCAGCACGAGATGAATGTGTTAATGAAATATTAAGAATATATTTAAAATATAAATATCAAATACAGAAATATGAGAAATGATAGAAGTAGTAAAAGAGAATCCAAATGGAATAATTAAAAGAATGAAGAGGGCATTTGGTAAGAAGATTAATTTCAATGAATTAATGAATGTAATACAATTAAACGAAAGAAAACATGATGTAAGCAAAGTATTTGAATGGGTAACAAATAAATTAAATGAAAGAT